AGTTCTAACAGCAAATGTCTGCCTCTCCAGTCACTAAATCAGAGTTTTAACTCTTATTGCTCAGTTATTTTTCTTTCAATATCTTGTGTCCTAATTCTGATTTTGAACCACTAAAACCTTAACACTCTCCACTTACATCCTGGACTCCAGCAGTAAAATGGGCATCTGGGAGTAGCAGTGGAGATCCAGAATTCACTGCTTATTCTGAAAACTGTGATCATTTATTCCCAGCAGCACTTTGGCCCACAAGGCTTTTCCTGTCAGGAAAGCTGGCCCAGTGCTTGGCTTGATTTAACCCCCAGGGAATTTTAGACTTGTTTTGGGGAAACTATATTTAGGTTTTTTGTCTATGGCTTTTGAGGACACAGTTCCCTGGCCACCAACACTGTCTCAGCATATTCAGCAGAAAATATGACATGGACATACAGTTGATTCCTATGTGGATCGCAGTACAGAGTCTATACTGATTCTTAAGTACACACACCAGTTTTATGCTGCCTGACAACTCTGTTTAACCTGATAGTTAACGAAGTAAGATTTCTGTGAGCAGATCTGAACCACTGTACTGGGATTTATGCCATAACACCGCTTTGTATCGTGATTTACAGCATCACCAAATCACGGTTTCAGTTAAAGGCAAATCACTTCTCAGTAACAAGTCATTTTCCCAGTACAGGCAAAATTCACAGCTTTTGTTTTCCAGAACCAAGACAGGCTGTGATCTAGCTCTGAATTAGAGCAGTTAGTATCTGCATGAATCTATAGCCACAGATATCCTTGTGACAACAGAAAGTTAGCAGTCCCTCTTATTTTGTGAATGGCTTCTAGCAATAAACCCAGTAGGAAGAAAGAAAACATTTAATTAGCTGCTTTAAGGCACAATTGTCTCATTCACCAAAGGTCAGTTCACACCTGCTAACTACTCTCCTTGGAGGTGAGCTGCACTCAATGCCAGAAGGGGAAAAATGGCCTAGGTGTGACATACTTTTGCACAACGTCATTGAAATGCTCCCTTTGGATGTGACAATGTTCTCAAAGTAGCCCGAGCACTCCACCTCAGTTACAGGTAAGTAGGACCATCCTTTGAGAAGCAGTTTGGGATGAACCAGGAGGGAGGTTGCCTCTGAACATGAATGCATGTGCCCATGGGTGTACATAAGAAAGAAACCACATTCGCATGTGTGAACTTAAAGGGACTGGAGACAATCTGGAGGATTCAGCATCTGTGGGAAAGCCCTGGAACTTATGATAGGCACCCAGCTTCTCCTCTCTCTTTTCAGGAGACAAGCTCCAGCGCTATGAATGAAATGCTATCCTCCATGACTTTCAAGTAAAGTACATAAATGCCTCATTTCCTACACGAATAGGAACCGTAGTAACTACCCCGGGCAGTCTGGAAACAACTCTATTGTCTTGGCTGATCTAGTTAAGTCAGATATTGAGTGTAGTTATCTAACATGCTTATGTTTGGTTGGTTTTTTTAAACAGAAATGATGTTTTAGTTCTAACAGCAAATGTCTGTCACTCCAGTCAAGAAATCAGAGTATTTCTAACTGGATGCCTCATACTGAACATAATTTTCAAGCCTGCAGAATAGAGCAGAGGCTTTTCAGCTGCTTGCAGCACTGCTCTGCTCCAGCTTCCTCAGGGCAGGGACATTTAAGTTATCTCCCCCCTCACAAAGGAAATAATCCCAGACAAATTTCCCCAAGCCCATCCCTTCTGTTTTACCTGCCCCAGGACATCCCCAGAATCTCCTCTCCTGCTCTAGTGCCAAGAAGCACCTTCCCATCATCTATAGCTCATGACAGGAGCTCCACAGAAATCCCCAAACAGGAGACCATGGAAGTCTGATCTCTTGTGGATTTGTGCTCTTTACCTTTAGCTCTCCCTCACAACATTCTCAGATCCCACCACCATCCCACTGGAGTGTTGTAAGGGCCAGGTTTAGTGCTCTCTCTCTCACACAATGAATGTGACTGCACATACCTCACGTACCTGGATCTCTTTAGTTCCAAACCTGAGCCAAACTCTTTAACATGGGGTTGAACATAACCCTACAGCTTCACCATGGGGATGGATTCTCTTCCTAGGCATTGTCCGAGTCCTTCTGCCTCTGAAATCCTGCTTTCTGTGTGCCTGTGGGTATAAAATGCAAGGTGTGTTATTTACCAGAGGAGAACTGCACTGATCCCATGCTACAGAGAAGATGCAGAGACCCATGAGCTGTTAGAGCTCCAAGCCAGCAGCCCTTGAGTTGCAGAGCTGAGTGCTGTGCAGATAGACCATGGCGAACAGCTATCAGGGCACTCTGCTTCCAGCCACCAGCTCAGCCAGCCCCACACAGGCTGTGCCCTCTGTGAGGCATGGAGCTGGAAGCAGGAGATGCTGCAAAGCTCTCGGTCCTTTGATATCAAACTCTTCCTCTGTATACCTCCAAATTTCAGTCTCTGGGGTGTCGATGCTCCTAGTGGCATCCAGCACATAAAACATGCAGTCATTCCTTTTTTTTCCTGCTCTTTACAAGGAGAGCTCTTCAGGGCCAGGTGTGAGTAACTAGAAAATTTACCTTTATTCTAAAGGAAAAAAAAAAAGCTTATTTGTGCTTAATTGTTACTCTAATTACAAGTTCTGGTATAGCGTAAATTTTTTCCCTTGGCATTATTATGAACCTCATTTCCTTACAAAGTCCAGGATAAACAATTCCAATATATTTTGTTTTAATTATCAGGGTTTAATGGGGCATAATGAGACTATGTTGAGTGGTGCAGAAGAAAATAATGTGTGCAAAACTATTGAGTGCTCCTAGCTTAACTGTGCATATTTCACCTATTGTAAGGCAGCACTATGGTAGCTAATATTCAGTGTGCCCATCATTTATTTATTAATCATACTTGCTTTTCAACAGAATGTTTTCCTTTTTTTTTTCTTGGCATCTGAAAGAAGAAGAAATCCATTAAGGTACACTGGAAAAAATTGACAATTCTCAGATTTGAGCAGTGAAGGATGCAGCTGATACACAGCTGATGCTGCTTAGAAGCATTTCTCATGTCATGGACGGAAGACTGGAGAGTGTTGGGCGCAGAACCTGCCTCAGCCAGTCCGTTCCAAGTGCGGTTCTTCTCCCAGTGTTATTTGGCAGTAAAACCTTCTGGCTCCAGTTCTTAGGGCCCCTACCAAAAGAAGCATAGATGAAGACACCATTCAGAATTGACCTTCTCACTACAGATACATTTTCCCACTCCCCAGGTGTGGTTCCTATAGACTTAAAACACCACAGATACTTCTGCAGTGAAAAGGGAAAGGTGCAAAACAGTGGCCTGGGAAATAAACCAGTGAAGTGAGATTACGACCTTTTACGCTTTCCAAGGTCCCTTTGCCAATGGCACTGAATCCGATGGCTGGGTGTCGCTCATGCAGCAGTGAGCACCACGCTGCCACCAGATTTATACTCCTCTACCAGGCTGACCATATCCCAGCATCCAAGTACACCCCACCCCACACACAGAAGCTTTGTGTAGTCAGAGGATTTTGACCAATTGTTTGGGAATTCTGAACACCAGGCCGTGTGGTCAGCATGGTTCTGCAGAAAGGACAAACACCTTTGTTCTGCCACACTAGGCACACACAGCACACACTACACCTAACACAAGTGAGAGTTACAAGAAGTTTCAATGTGAGTTTCGCTGCAGGAATAATTGCTGGATCCTCCCTGAAGGGAAATACATCTATTCTGCTTATTCATTATACTCCTTGACATGGAGACAGAAGACTTGATATGGTGCCCACTGAAGACATTAGGAATGTCCTCTCTTCTCAAAAACTATTTGATTCGTGACTCTAGGAAGGAGGTTCAATTACAGCACAAAAAAAAATCAGACCAATATTGCATGACATTTATTTGAAAATTAACATTTAATATTATAGATTAAGTTAATATACTCCAAGTGTTTGGGTTTTAAATAAAATAAATTTATTACAGACATCAGTATTTACAGAAAGAAAAACATATTTACATTTTTTTTTTATCTCATTGGAGTAAAAAAATTCTCCATGAAGTTTCTACCCACAGGAGATGTTGCATTCTCTGAGAAGCCAGCCTCCTTCAAGGATTAATGGAGACAAGAAACCTAATCAGGCTTAAGTTACAACTCAACCAGTTGATTGAGGAACTGCAATGGTGGCTTGCATTAAACTGTAGCAAGACTGGAAGATCTCAGGGGGCCCCTTCCAAGTTTATATCCTATGCTTCAAGGAAGAATAGAAGGGAATCAGCGAATACTTTCCATCAAACTTGCTTCAGATACAGGACCAGGCCAGCATCCAGCATGTTCTCACAGATCTCCAAAGCTCAGGGTCACCTTTCTTTCTGACAAACTATGGGGGTTCCAACCCCAATTTTGGATCCCATTGAAAGGCCACTGTATAAATACACAAAAGCAATATCTGCTGCCACACAGCCTCAGCAGACCATGGTGGAAGAGAATGATGGTAGAAGCCTCTGAGATTAGCTCTGGACAAACACACACCCTGAAAGTTCTATGTAGGAGCATACATCCCCACTGGATCTTGCAGTCAAAATTGAATAAGGTTGTGTTACTAAAGACCCGCACGCCTGTCCTGGATTGAGTCAGGATGCCGTGCTCCTTACATCTTTAGAAATTCTGAGCCTCAATATACAGAATGACCTTAATTTGAACACTCATCTTAATGTGTTTCAACTTCCTCATGTACCAAGTTCCTGTTTTTAATGGTTTCCTCTGGTGTAAAGGCACTCAAAGCTCTCCCCATGCAGGTCAGCACACTCTCCCACAGCTCTTTGAAAGCCAGCCTTAAACACGTTTCCACACAGCCATGGTGAGGGGAGAAGGATCTGAAGCACAGCTGAGTTTCTGGTTCTCCTGCCCAGTAATCTGAAATGCCATCTCCCTTGGTATCTTCAGTGGTAAATGGGGAACTGAATCCAGGTGCATGCCAAATGCAGACAAAAAAAGTCCCTGCTAATGACAACCACACCTTGTTGCCACCATGTCTTTGTAATTTTTAAGGACCACGTTCTCTTTGTCATCAAAGTAGAGAAGATTGAGGGACTTCAATTCATCTGGCACACAGCAAGGCGTGCTGACATCTTGAGACAGTTTAAGTGTATGGACTATGGACTGAACTGTAGCATGGTTTGTTGCATTTAGATTTTCCCCCAAGGGGAAGAGACAGGATCCTCTGCAGTAAAATGCATTGTACCCACTGGGATAAATAATCCATCCTGACCAGCCAATAGCACGGAAGTCAACGTAGAGTTCCCTTCGGTGACATGCTGCTACTTGGCTTTTGGCAGAAGGGACTGCAGCAGCTCGAGGTCTCCTGCTTGTGCCTGTATTGCTGCTTTTGATGACCTGAGTTTCATGAGGCACATGGGAAGCATCATTTTTGGCAGGGTTCATCCCTGATTCTGAAAGGAAGCTGTGTGTTAGTCCTTCTCAAAATAAATTAATTTTCTAAGTACAATATTCTGCACAGAACTCTATTCCATAATTCTACATCAAAGTCTAGATTTTAAAATGACACTTAAACTGTGAAAGGACCAGAAAGGGTGTGTATTCAATTACCTTTACAGCCATATTTCAAAAAGTGCCAAATCTTGTGTTTCACTTTGTGGCCCCAGCTCAGTAGAAATATAAAAGAAAAAAGCCCAGTGATAAACGAAATAGTTCTGTGAACTCTACACGCCCTTTTCAGGGCTGAATCTGGTCAGAATGGCATTAATGGCCTTTATATAGCCACTCCTACAACACACAGCAGGATGAGCAGTGCTAACAGAGGGGGATCACAGCCACCTTCTCCCTCCGGTATTCTCCTTCCAGGAACTCTACCCATACACTTGCAAAACAGAGTATGCTCCTGTAGAATATATATATATTTTTAAATTTAGATCTGAAAGAATTACCATCATGTTTTTAGAACTCTGCTGGAGAATTAAGTTTACTGACAATTGGTTTGCTTTCTTAAGGTGTTTTCTGAGAAACCTTAAATAAATGTTCATGAAGACCTTAAGATCTATGTGCACAGGCTGAAAACCACCGACACACAGGTTGGCAGAAGAACAACCTACATAGATTCACTGACAAGCAACACGCAGGTCTAGGGGGTTTCTTCACTGAGAAACAGGAATCAATATCTCAATCCTGGTACAGTATCCCATACAGAACTCGATGCTTATTAAATTGGGATCTAGGATTTCACTACAATAATTTTCTTTGGAAAATGAAAATAAAAAGACCAGTCTCATTTTCGTTTTTAATCAATTTTACCACCCAGTTCTTAATACTGATGCAAGTCCTACTCGGTTGCTTTCTGAGGTGCAAATGCAATAATTTACCAGAAAACCCCACAAAATTACACCAGAATAATTTTTTGCCTCTCCTCCCAGCTTTCACTCTTTGCATTTATCTGGCTGTAAAATCCAGCCTTAGCTGGTTTTACTGGAAGACCAGTGGGAGAGGTAAGACACTGTGTTTTGTAATTTAAGGGAGGAGGGTGTTTTCTTTGATGAAAGGAGACTTTAGTCACAATGCTAATTAGTCACTGAAGCTAAATAGGTGCTTAAAATCCAACCCAAGAATGGAGAGGTTTAAATTGCTTATTTAACAACCTTTTCCACTCTTGAAAACTACACTTAATAACTCTACTCAAGAGTTGCTTTACCAGCATTTTCACAAAGTTTTCCAGGTCGCTGAGTCTAAAAAGCCTAAACCAAATCTACAATTTTCACACAAACTTCACCACTACAAAGATAATATAAATAGTAATTAAAAAAAAAAAAAAAAATAGAAGTCTCATCCCTTTACAAACAAAATAAACCAGACTCCCCCTAGGCTTTGTGAATATTTCCTGCAAACAATTTCTTTGGGGACACTGGAAACAAAGATGCTGGGTGACCAAGAACTATCAAAGCAAACTGGTCAGTGACAAAGCTGAACTTCAAACCTGTTCAACATCGCACGTAAATGCTGAGAGCAGCTACACATGAGGCAGTAGAAGGTAAGAGTAGATGAGCAGGGAGTTCATATTCTACAACAGCTGCTGCTGTCTATGAACTTACTTGTGGAAGAGGGTACAAAACTGGAAGACCTCCGTTTGTTACTGTTGGTGAAGAGGACCAGGAGAGCATTTCTGCTCTCCTGTGAAGGGCCCTGGCTCTTGGCAAACTTAACCAGGTCGTGCTCAATTCTATTGTTGAATACACGTGTTGTAGTTATCAAAAAGCCATGGTTGGAGCTGCTGTTTCCAACCCACTTGGAAACCTGGTAATGAAAGGGAAATGAAAAAGACATTGTTTCGATATTTTTATTACAGCATTATGATTAAGCAACGTTTACATTAGGAAAAGGGAACAGGTAACAAAGTATGAGAGCGTAAGAACATATATTATGACAGAAGTGAGGTACAGCTGAGACTCAAGTGAGTTTAATATTTAAACCAGTAATTCAACATTTAAAAATACAAAATACGATACGCATTCCCCAAAGGTACATTTACAGGAAGCTAATTAATTTCAGAGAATTTACTAGTGAATAGACAAGTCTAGGAGTTGAAGTTAACATTAAAATAAATCCTCTGATTTTAGCCAGGAATTTATTTTTCATGGCAATCACAATAACAGAGTGATATGAACTCTTCACACTTGCTATACCATTAAAACTCATTTAAATATAATAAACATGGAATGTGAAGAAATTAACTCGTAATCAAGCAAATTTACTTTATCTAATTGTTATAATTAAAGTCTAATAGATAAGGCTAGGCCATTCGCAAGCAGGGCTGTCATGACTTAAGATGGAACTCAATGAATCATCCAAACAAGCCTTTCAGAGTGATCATAAAACTTTGACAACAGAAAACATTGTCTGAGAGTACAGATTTAAACTCAAGAAACTGCATGTTTTAAACCATGTTTGGGGTTTTTTTTGCTATGGAAAGGTATTCACATACTGTTAGTTTAAGGATAGCTACAAAACAAATCTTGAAACTAACAAATAAAGAAGTCTGAAGAGGAAATTAAATGGGGATTTAGAATGAAAATGAAGTCAGAATTCTCTGCTTACTGTCTGTGTGACGTTGAATGCTTCCCAGCCTTCTGTGTACAGGGATAATAATCTTGATGCAATGAGATGTTTTTTTTGTGTCTGACTTCCACCCTCCAAGAGCTCATAGACTTCCACCTTAATGAGAACAATACAACAAAACAATAAGTGAAAACAATTGTTCTAGCAAAACAAGGAGGATAAAGATTATGCACATTTCTGCCACATCACAGATGGAAAAACTGTATTATCATTCCAAACCAAGGAAAAAAATAGTTTTTTGGACAGTTTAACAGAAAAACAAGTATCAGTAAATACAACTACTTCGAGATGTGTTCAGAGGCAGCATACTGAACTGTTTGATACTGTTACTGGACTGTTTTGATACTACAGAAAAATATCATTATCATACCTTTTCTTTCTTTTTTGAACATCTGATACTATCAAAGTCTTCTGCCCCTCCACATTCTTGCCTTCGGGTTTGCAAAAAGTCTGATCCTGCCTCTTGCCAAAGGAACAGGTACAATCAGCACCAGAGTCCTCACCTGCCCTGTTTTTCTACGGATCCCAGATTGCTAATATTATTTTTAGAGTGGCTAAAATTCGATTTGAATTTCAAAACATTTCAAACCCCAGAAAAGCACGGTATAGTTTGAGATAGGCTGACATAGGTATTTTTAGGAACAGCTCACTGCCATGGTGCACCATGGACAGCATACTGTCAAAGCCAAGACCTTGCATCTACTTCTTTGCATGATGGAGGCAAAGAAAAAGTAAGGATGACAATAAAATAAGAATAAAGCAGGATTACGTGGTAAGCGGTTGTACTCCTCACTTTCAGTAAGCAGTCAAAGCAAGATTAAGTCCTTAACTAACATATTATTTCCCCACTTACTTTGCAAAAATGTTTCACGTCAGACCTTCTAGGCACATGTGTCCTCTTCAGCTTGAAGACCCTGAACTCGGCTTTCAGCATCTGCTCGCTCCTCTCCATCGCACTGATGTCGAAGAAGAAGTGGTGCTGGTCCACATGAACTGGAAGAGACCCCTTTCTTTAGGAACCGCGCAAGACCCCGCAGAACAAGCCGCACCCCGGCGTTTGCCGTAGCCCAGGCCGGCTCAAACCC